TATTGTTCTTGACCTATCTTCTCAAACACTTTCAATGGAGCATGTACAGAAGAAAAAAAAACAACCCGCAAACAATTTGAAAATTTAGTAGAGTTTGTGGTCAAAAATAAAGTTTATTTTCAAGACCATTTACTAATTGTTCTAATAAAGCTAACCTTATGAGACCACCAAAAGACACATTTTTCTTTTAAGTTAAAAACAAATTATAGCTAAAAGACAAAACTACGCTCTGATTAAACACAGTTGATTTATTTATTCCCCGAAGTTAACTTCGAGGGATGCACGTTAAGTTCGATAGCGGCATGTGATTTGATGCTGTTATTCTGAAGCGCTATTTCTTCATATAACGTTCGTCGATAGCGTGCGCCTGTTATAATATAAAGGTTTTACTGATACAACACACCAGTTGGAGCCACATAACGTGTTTGACGGATAACATGCACGTTAAAGTTAACGTGAGTGATACAGCACAGGGCTGAATGCTGGGTGGGGAAGCAGCAGTCGTAGCGTAATTCAGGTATTTTGGCCATGGCGACTACACACGTGTGCACTCGTGCATTGTCCTTATGAAACAGCACTTTTTTTCGCCAAATGTGGCAGTTTTAGTTTCATGTCAACATTGAATCTGTCCAAGGTAATCGATGTGAATGACGCCTCCCAAATAACTGTGGCCGACAGACCAATTTTGTCCTTCTTTGGTACACGTTCACCTGAAGAAACCCACTGTTTTAATTGTTCTTTGGTCTCTGATGTGTTGTGAGGGTTCCGCGTTTCGTCAACGGTAACGAAACGTCGCAAAAACTCGTTCGGATTGCGACCGAACATCGCTAAACATTCATTTGAAATTACGTCTGGGTAACTCAGTGAATCTTTAGGAGTTGGAGCAGTGCTGCGCAAATGGCTTGGTGCGCCAACCCAACGCACCGGCACAGTCACTCAGTTCTGTTGCTGGGAAAATGTTGATGACTTTTTTACTTGTTTCTAGATTTATTTTAAGGGTCATGTACCAATAATATGTTTCTAACATTTCTTCAAAATTTCAGCATTTTGCAGTTTCAGCAGTCAGAGGTTTCAACAGGAGATGTTGATGACTTTTTGTTAACTTTTTTAGATTTATTTTAAAGGCCATTTATTAATAATATTTTTAAAATGTCTTCAAATTTAGGAATTTTCCAGTTTTAGCCATGATACACTTTCTTCCAAATGCTCAATTTTCTAAAGTTTCGCTTAAAGATGCTGACAACCTTAACGTATTTTTCGCGAAAAATTATGAAATAAGTTTCGAATCCTTCGTCGCTTTGTAAAAAGTTGTTAAATCCCTTCCCAGCTTCGAATTTGGAACAAAAATCAAGTAGGACAAACGAAAAACTAATAGGAAGTATTCCTCCAGAAGTGAATCAAGAACCAAAAGAACTATTTTAGTTACACTGAAAGAAGTAACTAGAGATGAAAAGTATTATAAATTTTAAAAGCAAATAGACATTCCAAAGCAAATGCTAACAAAAGAGGAGAAAAATGTTCTACATCTACTAGTAATGCCAAATTTACCGAAAGTTGCATGGTGCCACCTGGAAAGACAGGAGAAAATTGCTTAGTACAGCAGAAAACGTGTTCTGTTCTAAATTAAACTCAGTTCAAACTAACGAATTCATAGATCATAAAAAATTCCCTGCCGGCTTTCCGCAAGCTGGCGCCCCATGCTCCATTTTCAGTCCATTAATCATAAAGAAAATGCACACGGCACTTAAACACACAATGAAAGTCTACTCCGAGTTGAAAACTTTAACACTGCAGTATGCAGTGAGAATATACTACCGCACTTGTATTTATACTTTTTATCTAAGAACGGGATTCATTCAAGACACAAAGAACACGCGACCTGTTGAAAAGAGACATTTTTAAAAAGTGACTCGATGTATCTAAAAAGTGGCATGTTAACGAAATATGTAATGGATTTAACACCATATGAATAGTTCAAAGTAGAAGCAAACAGCTTAATTTCAAAAGCCTAAAGTTTCACTTAAAAAACGTAACAATTTTAAGGTATTTTCCGAGAAAAAATATGAAATAAATTTCGAATCCCTGGTCGCTTTGTAAAATATTTTGAAAACTCTTTCCAGCGTCGAATTTGAAACAAAAATCAAACAATTTTTTATCAAAGAAAGAACAGAATAAGCTAAATTTTAGAACAGATTATTTGGAAATCTCGTCCTCTCCATTTCTCTGAAGACTGTAGAATTTGATAAAAAATGTGGTTTTTTAGTTTTGACTGAATTTTTGTTTCGCATTACTTTCTACACAAAAACGCTCTATTTCGTAGAGTTTCACTTAAAAATACTGACGATCTGGAGGTCTTAAAATACAGGCGACAAATTACAGGATACATTTATAGCTTTGTAAAAATTTTACAGAAACTTTTTTCAGTGTTGAACTTTAGTCCCTAGTTCAAATATATAATAAAATCGAACCGTTTTTTCCCGAAAACCATTAATGTTTTCTCCCAAACATATCGCAAAGCGGAAAGTTTTTAATCGAAAACGCAAAAAAGCATTATTTTCTGATGATGCTCTTCCTTTTTTACAATAATTTCAGCCAAAAATTGCAAAATTAATTTTTCTAGAAAATTTGCCTCATTCTTTAGAAAACCCAT